ATTTTCAACTCTCTTCTCGGTGTTTGGAAATGTGGTCAAACACGGTCTTTCGTGTTTGATATATTACTTGATTTTAGAATTACCCAAGTTATAAGGTCTTTAAATATTTTATTATTGGCTATGACTTGCAAAATAGCAGATGTGTAAAGGGTATGATCTTGCTTTCGACAAAGATATCAAATAGTTTTAGTAAGAAAGGAGGTCGCGTATTCTTTAGGTTCAAAAGGTCTATTCTTGTTTTTTTGTGAAAAGTATTTAAATTTGTAGAATAGAATAGTTGAGCTGTAAAAGAAATAAAAAAAATTCATTTGAAAGCGAATTTTAGGCCGGCCTGGTCTACAATTTTCTCACTAATCATTGATTAACCTTTCGAGTTCCGACTTTTTTCCCACCTCTTCCGAAGTTACGTCATTCAGATCAGGCTTGTAACGCACTTGGACGGAACAAGTTATCCACTATTCTTTGTTCTGTGATGAACAATACAACCACAGAAAACAGAAAATTATTTCACTTGTCGGTACTAGCAACGACAGTTCCTAAGGAACTTTAAAAATTAAACAGTTTACAGCTTTTCTTTTGTTTTAAAAGACCACGTCCGCTTTCAATTTGACGATTGTTCGCTCAAAATGAAATTGGTGTGCTTCGCGTCATGGCGGCGGTGAACGAAAATCAAAACGAGGAAAATATGAGAAATTTCTTTTGTTCCAAATTTCTCCGCGTGAACAGAAAACTTCTGGTGTCGAAGGTGTTTTATTTTTGTTACTGGGGAGCTGTTGGTTCGTTTTTTCCTCTACTGGGAGTGTATTTCAAGCAACTAGGAATGAACCCGAGTCTAAGCGGCATTCTAGTCGGTTGTCGTCCAATGGTAGAGTTCTTCAGCGCACCTTTGTTGGGATCGCTAGCCGACAGACTGAACAAACGGAAAATGCTGATGATATTTTCCTTGATGTGTTGGATATCTTTTAATTTCTCCCTGGCTTTTATAAAACCGGCACCAGTCACGTGTAGGAAATATTTCATTCTGACCGAAAATGTTTCGCAAATTGTCACTGGAGAAACTTCAGAGATCAGAGATTTCCTCGCGCCCAACACTCCTGACAAGAAAGAACCCGAGTTTAAAGCGAAAAGTTCATTGGTCTTTGACAGCGAAGGAGTACATCAAGTGTTTTTAGTCCTACTCTTTCTAACCGTGGTTGGAGAATTTTTCTCGGCTCCAGCTATAACACTAGCTGACTCCGCTACACTTGGAATGCTTGGAGAGAACAAAGAGCTTTACGGGCGACAGCGTATGTGGGGGAGCCTGGGATGGGGCACCGCCATGTTTCTTCTTGGTTTTGTTATTGATAGCATCAGTGGAGTTGAAGTTTGCGGCGAAATTATCAGCCAGAATTACACCGTCGGCTTCTATTTCTTCTTCGTTTTCATGGTGTGCGCTTTGACTGTTGCCACCCGTTTTACCTTCCCAAACAAAGAAAAATTAGCACTCGACGAAGAACTTGTGGACAAAGGATCCGGATTGTATCGTATTCTCTTGTCATTTCGTTACGGGACATTTTTGCTGGTGACATTCTTCTTAGGTTTCGGAGTTGGTCTTATTTTCACGTTTCTCTTTTGGCATCTCGAAGACCTCGGTGGCCCGCCGACTCTGTTCGGGATAGCTTCGCTAATCGATCACATTTCGGAAATCGCTTGCTATTTCAATGTGGGTCGCCTCATTGGGTGTGTCGGTCATATTCGCGTCCTCTACATTGGTCTTTTGGGGAATTTAATTCGCTTTGTTTACATTTCTTTTCTTGACAATCCGTGGTTAGTGCTTCCTCTTGAAATTTTGCAAGGAATGACTCATGCCGCAGTATGGGCAGCTTGTACGAGCTACGTGGGTCGTATTGCTCCCCCCGGATACGCAACCTCCGCTCAAGGCATTTTACAAGGATTGCATCACGGCTTAGGGAGGGGTTGTGGGGCAATAATAGGAGGGGTGCTAATTCACAAGTTTGGCACCAAAATCACATTTAGAGCTTATGGAATTTCCAGTCTCGTGGTCTTGGTCTTGTTTGCAGCCGTTCAAAAGATTCTTGGATCGGACGGGAGAATAACAAATGGAGAGAGACCGAATCAGTTGGATGTGACGACCAAGGCCAAACAGAGCCCCAACAACAGCCCTGAGGTTGATTCGCCACCTTCCGTCGTGGCTCCTCTTATGCCAGGGTTATTTTCGCACAGAAATTCTGGAGATCCTAAAATTGGAGTCGTCGGAAGGCATATCCAGCCCAGAAGTACCACAAGCTGAGATGGATTCCTCCTTAGGAACCGTGTGGGATTCTGGACACCAGCTACACCGCAAAACCGTATGACGTGTGTTTTACTGCCGAGGCCGTTGCGGTTCCGTAAATGTAAACAAAGCCTAAATCTTTTTTGAAAAAAAATAAAATAAAATAAATAATGTTAAAAACTCCCCAAGCAATATTGATTTTAGGGTCCGAGATGTCCCAGGAACATTTTGTGAAAACGTACGTCTATTCCCCTTCCCTCGGTGGCCGCCGGGCGCTAGTAGAACCCCACTCGTTAAAAGAACAGGGGGGAATCGAAATGTTCACGCAATCAAGCTGCTTTGATCAGCAGAGTAGTATAACTTCACGTGCACGGTGCTCCAACTCATGAGCTATGACTGCCGTAGCTACAGAAGCGCCGTGAATGAACTGATTAAAAACAAAACACACACAAACAAAAAAAGTAGCCAGCGTTATGATTGGCTCTAGTAGTTTGTTTCTTTTTACCCAGTTGTACAACAGGTAGAACTGATCCAAGCCACTGTTATGATATAATACTGATAGCGTGTTTTGTTTAAAATAAAGTACATACAGGAGCACCTGGTACATGAAATTAAGCAGTGAATGTCTTTTACTTTTAAGGGACCATCTAATTATACAATAGTATATCTATCGAGGGCTTCTAGGCCGATAGTTGCCCGCGAAAATGTTGTGTGTCCTAAAAAATAAATAGTAAAGTTCGAGTGTTTATTGCCCGTTTTTACGCTACGTAAATAAAAGTAAAATCGGAACCATTGAATAAAAGAAGTCAATAATTTGAAACGTTATAGAAAATTAACAATTAAATAACGAACTTCTCCAAGTCTTAGGTCTGTGATATAGTCCGGCTGCTTCAGTTATCTGATGTCTTTTCTGATCCCAATTGCATGCAACACCGTTTTTTTTTTTGCCGACATAGGGGTTGTAGCCAGTAACAGGCAAGCTGAGGCGTTTCCCTTTGACTTTTTTTTTCGTTTTTGTTGTTTTTATTCACCATCAACATCCTAAATACCTAGTAAGATAATTTAACCATGAATATTTCCCTGGATACTAAACCATTTTTTCCGATTTCAAAACCTGTTTTTGCCGCTCTCAAAACCGGTCATCTATGATCTCAAAACCTTTTTTTCCGATCCCAAAACGCACTTTTTTTGTGATCTCAAAACCGGTTTTTGCCCATCTCAAAACTGGTCCTCCTTTTTCTAAAATAATGAATTATTATTATTATTATTATTATTATTATTATTATTAT